TGCTTCAGATGCAGCTAACACCTAAACATACAAGTGTTTTCCATTGGGAGCCACTTTGCCAGTATCAGACGCTGATATGGGAGTAGCATATTCCCTCATGGTCTTTCCTGGCTCCCAGACACTGTACATCAGGCAGTCAGGACAGCAGCGACTCACACAAAGTGACAGGCATGCAGACTGACACAGAGACACATGGGTGTGTGGGCAAGTTGCTGGGCGGGCAGAGGGACAAGTCAGAGTGGACAGTCAAGGGAGAGTTAGGTACAACGAGAGAGACGAGGTTTTCAGGCAGCCAAGGTGTCGTACTCACTGCTGCTATAAGCGAAAAGGACCCATGAGGCCCCGGGGGGCAAAAAAACATCTTGAATTTCACAGAATATCCCAGTTACTGCAACTTTAAGCCACATTTATTTTCCCTGAACTGCAGCATTCTCTTTCACTTTAACTTCACAATACAACTATCTGACTGACTAATGGGCAATAACCCAACCAATATGCTGGCTTCTTTCATACTTAAAAAAATGGTCTGATTGCCTTGTAGGCTGTATTTAACATTTTATTAAGTCAATCTATAATATTGCTTCTGCTGTAGCATTTCCCACTGAGTATTCTTTTAATATAAGATATAAAAGGTAGATTTAATCAATGCGGCGTAGTACTGTGTGCATCCATTGCTATAATCAGTCTAAAAAAAACTATAGAGATGTCTGGTTGGGCTACAGAGGACGGACATCTAAATTGATGGTTTTGCAGTCAGATCTCTATAAATATTGTCGAAATTGTACACATCGCATACAGAAAAAAATCGGACACTTTATAACTTGATGTTGGTCTAATATTTTTTAACTCGCGATGAATGATCAGTACGTCTGTGGTTGTAGTCGGCTGTAAGTGTAAATTATGCATGGCTGATATTTCTGAAGGGCCCGTAGTAATAGAGGTAATGTCGCCTTGCTTATATCAATGTCCAGCTCAAAAATTTAAATACAGTAGTGTTAAATATTTATAAAATAAATGCTGGCTAGTTAAAACAATTTTAAGACATATATTTTATACACAACAACACAACAAAATCTTCAGGTGTCTTACAGATGAATATTATTGTTTAGAAACACTGTTGAAAGAGCCACAATACGTAGAGGCCTCTAAAAATCTTTCAGTTTGAACGCAGCTTTAAGATAGATGTCCATGTGTCTTTTGATCTGGGATTAATGGCCGTGGGTCTGAAGGGTTAAAGTTAAGACGATAAAGTGATACGTTAGATGATGAGCAGAAAAGTAATCTGCAACTATTTTGCAACAAAAGGCAATTTAACCACGGTACTTTGGACCGGGTAACATTTACATATCATTTTCAACAAACCACAGGTGTGAACTGCATTAAAGGATTCACGCACAAGATTAAGATATAAATCGTGGTATCTGCAAATCTCTCCTGCGCCACCTCATGAGCTGCTCGGCTCACTACGAGACATGATTGTTTTGGAGGATGCCCCAAGCAGCATGCCTTCAGTTGGCATACATTACAACTATTTGAAGTTTGCCCCCCAGACGTTGTGCTTTAGTAGTTTCACATCTGTTAAAGTGACATATCTGTAAAACACAACCTTTAGGGTAACATCTTTACCAAAATGAAGACGGGACAGGAGACAGTCAGTTGGCGGGAGTCCCCTGGGCTTTTTTACATACTTGCAGGATCCAACCATGAGAGTGGTGCACATTTTCATATGTAGCACAGACCTGAGAAAATATTTGATAAATTAGTCTACCCCAGACATGGAGGCAGGATGGATGAGGATCTAATAACAAATGTGACACTGTGTAGTCTCAGAGCACACAGCTGTTAGCTACAGTTAAATTGCAATCCTCAGTAAAGGTTTGATGTGTTTACTGAACTCTAGTAAAGTGTCTTTGAAGGCATCGCTAATAAGACAAAATTAACTATTAAAATGACAGAATAACAGTTTAACTGAAGTTAGCAACTCCATATTCCATGTCTGAAGAAGACTTTGGTCACATTATACAATTAATAAGTAACTGAGATGATAATCGGCAGACAAATCAATGAAGACAACAACTGATTATGTCAGTGCATGTGTATGGTTTAATAATAAATAATAAATTCAAGGCCTTTGGGTTGATAGATCAGATTGTGTTTGTGTAATTACTCCGGTCCTGGCTGCGAGATGTGTTTAGTGGTCAAGTAAGAGGAATCGTATCAAATGTATTTACAATCAATCACAATCGACTCTTAGAAGAAAGCGCTTGCTTAGGAAAATGCATCATCCCCTCAGCCAGACAAACAGTGAATCTTTATGCCAGCTGGAGGTCATTCGCGGTTTTTGACTCAGTTGTTTTAAAGGTTCTTTTCTTTTCCGGTCGTTGTGAGCTACAGACGCTGCAACATCCCACATGTGCAATTGTGTGCAGAGATGCTTTGTGTTTCGTTCCTTTTTTTTTTTTGTGGGTGTCTGTGAAAAAGTAGTGAAAACTGTTGATGATAAAGCAATGAGAACAATAGCCAGAACATTCACCGGTGCCCTGGGGCCAAAACATGATTTCATGATAGGTTAAACTGGTTTCCGGGGATCAGTAACAGATAACAATAAGCAGCGTAACCTGAGCTCTCTTAAAAAAAAAACATTAATTTCATTTAATTTTTGTGGTCTAGTCCACACCGGTAAGACAAATGTGCATGCATTGTTTGAAAAAACACATCCATCGATTTTTAGTGATTGGCCACTTCACACCCACAGATCCCATCTGTTTGAACCTTTGCAATCAGTGTTGGTGAAAAAGGGGTTTTATATTCCTGAAACGCTGCCATTTTTCCATTGATTGCACATGTTTAATAATGAGGAAAAACGGCGTTTACAGTTCGGTCGAGGGATGTGTTGTTTTTCCCTCCGCACACATTACGTCATGGTCAGTCTAGCCCCTACCAGATTTTTGACATCTGCGACAGTGCCAGATGTTGCTGTGTCCTCTGTCTGTCTTCTTAACAGCTGAGTACCACCACAGAAAGGTCATCACAGAGATGGATGAGAGGCTAGCACACTTTAACACACGGATCATCAAATCATCTTAGATGTACATTGGCTGTTAACCTCTGGGTTTGTGGATTGTATTAATATTCATTTGAGCCAAAAAGGATTTGCTGACAGGATCAACTGAAAGCTGTAGGGAAAATTTAGGCTCTACTCAATTCAAACCTGCATCCGTAAACATGAGAAGTTGAGACGTTGAGAGGCAGAGCTACGAGCAGCGCTGTGATATTCTGTCATATTATTCCTGTTTGAGTCAACATCACAAATAAAGCACAGTGTGGGTTATATTTGGCTGAGACCACCAGAATAATTACCTTGTTTGAATTCTTTTTACCCAAGCAAAAGTGTTTTATTTTTGTCAGCGGGAGTTAACTTTCAAAATGAAAGTACACGAAACCTGTGGAGCACGAACCCTGCTGTCATTCAGTTTCATGTCCAGATATGAACAATAGCAGTCAAAAGAACACTGTACTGCTGATTCAAGGGTAGAGGAATGGTTTAAGTGGGCCTGAAAAGTAATTAGAGCTGGCATTGTTTCTGGTTTCAAACAAGCTTCTTGAACTAATGGGCCATTTGCTGCCGAGCTGCCTTTGTTAAAAAACTTATAATTTCACTGCAGCTGTGAAAAAGAGCTGCACAACAGTTTACCGAAAAAAAAAAAAAAATCAAGTCTGATTATGTTCAGGTTACAAATAATTTTTTAATTTGAATTTCATTAGAATAAAAAAAAATTGTTCTGAGGGGAACTATAAATATGAGGCCGGTACACACCTTTAGTGCATCTTTTGTTTACTTTTCCGTGTCATCACGAGCACGTGTGTTTTTGTGTTTGCACTCGCAGTATGCATGATTCCTTATGAAACCTTCTGCTGTTGAGTACTGATGGAGAAGTGGAAATGAATCCAGCGTTTATGAGAATTTTAGTTCAACGGTCTCGCTGTTTGGTGCGATTTCGGGGGTGTATTGTGAGTGTCGGTTAACGTGCCGCTGTGTGTGGAGGTGTGTGACTGTACTTGAATACATATTGGTTCGGTGCGAGAGTGTGTGTGGGTGCATAAATGTTTCCCGAGCTCCTCCTGCCTCGCTCCAGGCAGAGCCGGCCTAAAGGAAGAATCCGTGCTGCAGAATCGAGTTGCACTTTACAGGACGCCAGCCGTGCTGCGGCTCCAGGGACCCGAACTGCTCTCTATCTCCCGACTGGCAGGCTGCTGCTGAGCCCTGCAGCTGCATGCATGTGTGCCACTCCTGCTCAGTTCAATCAGGCACACAGATAACCACAGCGAGCGAGAGAGAGAGTGAAGGGGTGGGGGAGACGGGAAACGGCACCATCATTGATGGTGGTGTGGGAGAGCAACGCGTGTGGTGGCTAAATAATAAATGTGGCATATTGGGTTTTGTGTGAAGCCAGGACTGAAGCCTGTTCCTGTGGTGCTGCCGAGGATAAAGATGTGAAGATTTCAGACCTAGTCATCTAGGGGTGGGGGATGGAAGTGGTGGACGACTGATTAGCTGCTAAACTTCATTTACATTAATCATTCCAGTCAATTGTCAATTGGAAATACTTCATCTCAAGTTTTTTGTCCTCGTCTTTTGTATGACTGGTGTGAGATTGCTAATTGAATCTCAACAAGTTGTCACACTATGGCCTCTGGTAGCAAACAATTTTACTTCATGCATTAAGCAATCACTGTTTCATTAACTAATCACTGGTTGGTGCCCAAAAATGAGGCAGAGGAACTCTCTGTTAACTGGAGGGAAACATTAGACACGCCTCGATTTTCAAGTTTCGAAAAATGTTTAGCAGTTAAGTGGTGGACTTGACGTTATCTTTGCAACGCCAAATAGAATTTGCTGCTTTTCATTAACAACTACACCCGCATCTTCTCTCTGCTCCTCTCCTCTCCCATCCCCTTCCCCCCCTTTTTCCTCCCTCTTTGTCTTCTGTTTCTCCAAGAAGGTGATGCTTCCTACAGGAGCGGCGTTCCGGTGGTTCCAGTAGGACTCCTCCTCCTCCTCCGCTCCCTACCCAAAGCTCTGCCATGAAGTGCAATGCCAACTCCTGGATTGTCTCCGGAACAGACACTGGCTAATAAACAAGCTAGCAACAAATAAAATTATAGAAAAAAACCCCAACAAAAAACAAAAAAACAAAACTAATAAAAGCAGAAAAAAAGAGGAAAAAAATCAGCCGGATAATGGATGCACCTACTTATTCCTTGAACCAAAAATGAAAACGTAAAGAAAAGCATCTATGGCAACTTTCATTCCCTTTTCTATGTTTCCATTTTGGTACCTTTTGTCCTTATCCCAGCAGGTTTTTTCTGTCGCTTAAACATGGAACTGCTCATTGCCAGAAACAGAAATGACGGACTGAGTGTGGACAATCAACTAATTTCTGTGTTTGGTGTTAATGTTGTTCATGTGTGGAAAGATAAAGTACTTGTGTAGAGAATGTAAATTTACAGCTATATTTTAAAAACTAGTGGCTAATGGTAAACATTATTGTAATTCTTCACCATTATGTTACTCAAAGCCCTCGTTTTCTTTATGATTTCATTTTACTTTCCAGAAAGATTTAAGTGGTTGTCCTTTGACAGTCAAGAAAATGTTTCAAATTGTGGTGCTGTCCATTTTGGATTGTAATGAAACTTTAAAAAAAAAAGAAAGAAAAAAAAGTCATGTTAATGGGCAGATCACCTGAGATTCTTCGCTGGCTTGAAGATGTTGTTCGCCAGAGCCGTCACTACTGTAATCTCCTCAATCAGCCCTCCTCTGCATTTCCAAACTGTTCCTTTAGTGAAACTGGCAGCCTTGTTACTGTGGCCCTACTGAGCATGTGCCAATACTGCTCAGGGCAAAAGCACTAAGAGACAGCACTTGCTCTGAGTCTACCCTACTGAAAGCACTGGGACAAGCATTTTTTTAAATTTATTTGTTTATTTGTCATATTTTTATGATTTAGTTATGTTGCTGGGTAGCTACAGCTTTTAAAAATAACCAATCTTTGTATTTGTTTAGAAAATTGGACTGGTTTTGTGAATAAAAAGGAATGCATGTATTCGTGTCAAAATTTACAAATCTGATGTTTGTCTACTTGTCTATTTGCATGTTTTTTTTAACAGCTGATTTTAAAAAAAATGGTTGGACTGACAAAATAAATATTAAGGATACATTTTCCACAAATTAGAAGGAAAAAAAAAAGTTTCCTTTTCTTTTACAATTGGACGCTGCAGCATAATTTTGACTCAAACACAGCTCATTAAAGTAAATCAGGTGGTGGTATGAATCGCTAAGATGTTCTTGGGTTGACTGAGATCTCTTTTTTACTGCCTATGTAATACACTATATGGACAAAAGTACTGGGAAATCTACACATGAACCCTACAGGAGCAGCTAGGCCGTGAAGGCGCGTGCCATGAAGCTCCCGGCACACAGTGTTTGTGCTGATGTTAAACCCAGAAGAGATTTGGAGCTCTGAAGTTATTGAACCAGCAGATCATTGGTGACTTTTACCCACTTCTTACACTTTATACTTTTTATATCAATATTTTTGCCCATATAGTGTATCTGCCTACAGTGGAACAATGGACCCTTGCTATGCTAAAATGTAACCAAAATGATTTAAATGATGTTTGAATAAGATCTTTTTGTTTGCAGTTTTTCTTCAAATTGCATGAAACCTCTTGAAGCTCCACGTAAATGTTTTTTTTTTTTTTAAATTCTGCGAGGATTTTTCTTTCTCAACAAGATCTTTGTGACATTTGCCCAACTTCTTGATATTTATAGTCAGAAAACACAAGCAGAAGTGAAAATTGATGATATTTGTGGATGGATGATTGCAAGCTCTGTGTCCAGAGCTATTTAGGCTGTGGTGCTTAACGCTGATAGTATCATGTGTACACAGAGTTTAAAAGTTTGGATCTCAGCACTTCCATGTTAGTCCTTTATTTATTTATCCAGGTAAAAATCTCATTGAGATTAAAAATCTCATTTCCAAGAGAGACCATGTAGTTCACAATGTACTCTGCATACATGCAGTATGTGAATTTAAACACACTAGTGTCATCTTTTAATGCAGCAAGTTGTATACTTTCTGAGAATTGTTGCGCTAGCATTTTCCTGTAATACATAAGTCACTGTCTATTTGCTTGCCTGCCAACTCCTCTATAAACAGTTGGAGTTGAGCAACTTGGCACACAGGTACTTCTTAGGCCCGTGAAGGTTCTTATCTATATCAGATATTATGATGTCGTCACATTGCCTAGTAACCACCTACCAATAGGCAAAATTGACCCATTTGTAGCATTTATGCACCTGTAACACCATACAAAATCATCATATGATTTTCATTTCTCTAAAGTAACATCTAGCAACAAAACCTTTATTATGAAGGGTATATCATGATCACATGTTGCCTAGCAACAACCTGTCGCATGGACATTTTTCTTGAAAATTTACAAGTTGTCAAATATGTGTGTGTGTTTTGAATTTTGATTAGAGGGTGTAGTGCTTTGATCAGGTAAGGCTAAAAGCGGTATCCAGAGACTGTCTGTCTCCAATGCACAGCTATCTACTAATTAATGTTAAATAACAATCCAATAAAATCCAAGCAGACTCTCCAAAACTGGAGCACAGATTTCTTGGATGGGCTGTACCTCACAGTGAGCCATATTATTTGGCAGATAATTCCTTTAAAACTCCAAAAGTCACCAACACCACACACCCGTCTGAGAGGTCTGGTTCTGTGACTCAAATTAGTGAAGTAGAAGCCCAGTGGAAAGCTCCCTGTGTCAACATCTTTCCCTCAGCCAACATGGTCTAACTTTTAGGATAAAATAAGATGTAAACAGCTTACAGAGAATTTGTTTTACATCAGGCTGTGAAGATGGTGAACACAAAAATCTACGGGGATTGACTTGCTTTTTGAGTAAGCCTCAAGTGGCCACTCCAGGAACTGCAAGATTATGAAGCTTCCACGTTGGCTTTCGTTTCCAGCCCCAGAGGCTGGCTCTTGGTGTGAACACACTTATGCACTAAAGATAGCGAGAATAACGATGGAAGCGTGAGACTCATCTACGGATACGAGAAGGCAGAGCTGATCACATTGGTCTTAGTGTAATTACCGAGTTGATTTCCATTCCCTGCTATGCAATGATTCTGTGATTAATTTAGTTTTACAGCTTCATACTCACTATCTCTTATCCAGGTGGGGAAGTAGATACAGACAGCCAAAGTGCGGAGTGTTTTTAATTAGAAAATATCCGTGGTGGAAGGCCCAGTATGGTGGGCTTGTGTACGAGCTTGTGATCAGCTTGGTGAGCAGAGACTTGGAGAGCATAGCTATATTCCCAGCTTCCCCCCCGGTGACAGTGCTGGGCTAGTGCCATCGCCATGGCGATGGGGGGAGTGTGTGTGTATGTGTGTGTGTGTGTCTGGGGGTGGTGGCTGAGGCCTTTCATTATTAATGTGCACCGCGGCGTCCTTACCTCCTCTGAGCCCGCACAGCTCACTGCCTGACCTGCCATCCAAGGGAGAGGGAGTGGGGAGGGGGGACTGAGAAGGCAGAGATAAAGAAAGAGAAGTGAGCCAGAGAGAAAGAAAGAGACAGCACGACTTGTGTACAGGGTGCAAGCGTCTGAGTGTAACGTAGAAACTGGATTTTACATTTAGCAGATTTCAGATTAACATCTTTTCACTGTGAGTGCTGAGGTTCTGGGTGTGGTTGCAGGTGACAGTGGCTCCTGCCTGCTGAGTTGTAGCAGCCCAAGGGATGGGGTGAGAGGGTCATGTGGTGGAGGTTGCGGTTGTCTCCATACAGAGGGGTGTACGGCTGGTGAGCAGGCCTGTCACATTGGGAAAATCCTGGAATCTTATCACCGCCTCACAGACACTGAGCCGCACTGATCTACTCACCCTTGTTGCCAGCAGACATGCCCTTCCCCCATCCAAATGCCCCTGCACAGGCTGGCCCCTTCTCAGCTCAGTCGCCACCTTCTTCGAATGGGGAGATAGCAGCGACTGATGCAGTCCAATTGTTGAGGAGGGGAGGAATGTTGCTTGTAAAATGTGACTAACAGGAAGAAAAACACAAGCTCCTCAAGTAAGTACAAGGCGCAACCCTGGTTTTAGTAATTGACCGAATGTAAGTCAAGTCACGGTAAAAAGCAGAATGAGGTAAAAGAGGCTATTTAAAGAGACATATGTCCTTAAAGTTGTTTTTTAAAGCACAATCTCACCAAACAACATTGTTGTTTTAGAGCTGTGGTGTAAAAAAACAACATTATCTTTCATAAAAAATAGTCAATATGATGCCCCATTAATTGGACTATTTCTATATTCTGTTAATGTAATGTAGGAGGACTGTAAACGGTTTTAATAAAGCGATTCTATCTTAGGCTATTTATCTGTTTCAGCGTATTGCAGGAACGTGGATGAAAGATTGGTCTCAGGGTAGACCATTTCTTTGTCTCACTGCATACTCTGCAGAACAGTTACAGCAGCAACAAAGGTCATTTATGATACAGCTGTGTTAGAACTTGTATCTCCATCCTTACAAAATATTCAGTGACTTTTTACATATTAATATTAAATTTGTTCACTGGAAAAAATGATCCCAGTGTTAGATGCTCCCAAAACATTTGTTTCCTCTTACTCGAACTGTTGATTGCTATTGAAAAAAATTTAATTAAATTTAGATGTAATTATATAGTGCCAGGTCACAACAACAACAACAACACTCCCTCAAGATCCTTTTTAATTGTAAAGGTACAGAAAAAATAGTCTTCAGAGAGTTTTCTTCCTCTGTGCACGCCTTTTTGTAAAATCCTCAAAAGAAGCTCCCCTCTGAGTCTTTCACTACACAACCATTTTTACTATAGTTATGATTAGGTTATATTAGTAAATAAGCTAACTTACTAAGTTAAATTGATTCTTCACTTGTGTGAAAACATGTACAATAATAAAAACCTTGTATAAAATTCTACCTTTGCATTGATGCACCTGATTCAAGTAGAAAGACACAAGAAATCTGATGAAGCTGACGTTTGTTTCTCCAGTGCTGCCTCATGAACTTAGTGATAATGCTAACGTATGTATGTGCTAATATATATCCCTACTCAAGGAACAAATTCATGATGAAGGAAACAATGCATGATTACAGTTTAATCTTGAAACCCTCGGTCATAGATCAGAGCAGACTACAGCTATGGTGAAATTAATCAAAGTGATATTATGTCAGCCAGCTGAAGCTCCAGTTGTTAAATGTGAGTCTGGATGTTTTCTAATTATCTGTCTCCACTGTCTTTTGACCTATTATTATTTTTACTAGAGGTCTATTAAAGATATAACATACAGGCTTAATGGTAACACTGAAAGCTACGATATGACTCATAAAGAAACTATTTCAGGTATTTAGATGACATTTGTGTCTTAAGGCCCATCAACCACCATCCCATTTGAGCTGTTGCTCATATTCGTACTGAAGAATAACAAAAGCTGTCAACAAAAGAAGGAAAAGCACAGTTAATACATTTTATACTTAGTTTTTTTTCTTCATCATGCTTCTTTTAAAAAATGATTATTATGTCCATGCAGTAGTAAGTAATAATCAAGTCACCAAAGACAATGAAGCAATAACACAGAAAAAACCTTCGTGAACCCCAAACAGTTTAACAGCTTTCTGATATTTGGTGAAACCGAACTGCCTTAAAAGCGATTAGAAAGGATTTTAAAGTTAGTCCCATTTTTATTTATTTATTTATTTTTTTTACAGAAAGCTGATGTGATGAAATCAACACTTTGTCACCAATGGAGTGCAGCTGAATCAATCTTTCGCAAACTACCTGCGTGTGTGAAATAATAACTCACACAAATAAACACATAAGATCAGAGAGGAATCAAGCATAGCGAAGGATTCATCTCATTTTGGGTATGAATGAGGAAAATAGTCACTTTCTCCTTTGCCACCGCAGCCCTGTCCTCTTGACACCTGTGGATGGAACAAAGTTACTTTGAGCTGCTTCGACAAGTATTGTAAGTATTGCTCACTAAAGGCCTTAT